ATATATGCATATACACATAGGCATAACAACATACATACAATACAAATCATAATATACGTTTCTATTTGGTTATAGGCAAACTATCACTATACACATACACACACACACTAGCTCTTGATTAGGCCTTTGTCATAATAAGTAGGGAGGAGACAATAGGCAATAATAAACTACATAAGAACTCAAAATTGATTGCTGTATTTAAGTATTGCATTAATATTTAAGCTTACCTTTTAGAAGTTCAATGATAATTCTTCTGTTGTCACTTAATTCAAAGACAATTTGATGTAAGTAGGTCCTTACTTTCTGTATGGACAATTATTTTTATTTCATGAGTGAGTTTCGATGGATTTTGCAACTAATTTCGATTATTCCCAAGTTATAAAAATTGTTATCATGCAAATAAATTGGTTGCAAAAAATGTAAAAAACATTGCTGAAAACAATCACAGTAATGAAAACTTGGGAATCCAAGTTTCAGGATTGCGGGTCGAGATCCAGCCCAGAATGTTTCTAATTTGCTCACGGAGTTGGCCTGATTCCAAAATGGATTGATATGTTGGGCTACGGCCTCTCGGAGTAAAGTTGAAAACACGGATAATTTTATTTTGAAACACTGTAATTTGAACACAGTAATTTTTTCATTTGAATATGAGCTATTGAAAGTTTGAGAATTGTATCCCTTTTAATTGTTTTTGTCAGAAGAAACCAACATGGTGGAATCTGAAAACAATTCCAGTAATAAAAACTTGGAAATCCAAAATTTCAGAATTGCGGGTCCAGACCTGGCCAAGAATGTTTTTAATTTGCTCATGGAGTCAGCCTGATTCCGAAATGGTATGATAAGTTGGGCTTCAGCCTCTAGGAGTAAAGTTGAAAAAGTGTGTCACAGTGACACACAGACATTCGCATTTATTATATAGATATATATAGGAGGAGGCACAACAATGTTGGGGAATATGAACACAATGAATGTATTAGGGACTATGTTACAACCCTTTGGGAGATTGCTCTATACATCATACCTAAGAATATAACTTTGAAGGCAATAGTAGAAACAAGGTGTTTAGAATAAATAATTTCTATTTAATAGGTAAATTTTCCAAATTTTTGAGTAATTGAATGACAACAACAAAAAATCTACTACATTATATATTACATCCCAAAAATGAACTCCTTTTTTCAATTTTGTCAATTATTCCCTATTGATTATATATATATATATATATATATATATATATATAAAAGTATGTGAAATGGACTAAGTTTGACAATTATTATATATAAACAGAAAATATAATATGAAATTGACTCGGTCTGACAATTATACTTATTTTTTTTTAAGTTATTTTTATAGATAAAAATATTTAAGTAAATGCTCTGTTTATAATAAACAGTATTAACAACATTTACCGGCCTGAAGGATACATATTTTCTATGAAATTTCTTGCACATTCAGGCCAGTAAATGTTGTTAATACTGTTTATTATAAACAGAATATTTACTTAAATATTTGTATCTATAAAAATAATGTATAAACAATATATATATATATATATATATATATATATATATATATGTACACACACCTACATGCATATATATTACACATGTTACTGCTTAATTTACTTTAGATTCTGAAATAATTTTTCATCTTATTAATATCATTAACCCTTTCCAGACTGAATTTATTTATTTTTTCTAAATTTTAAGGCAACTTAAAATTAAATCCAATATGTGAACTAACTAAATATTTATTTATTGATGGATCTGATTTTTGTGTATTTTTTAAAGCCGAAACATATTTCAGAGCTAAATACACAAGTTAATCCTTCTGTATCATATATTCATGGTTTTCAACATTTTTATGACTGTTTGCTGAAGGTATGCAATACCCTATTCAATAGCCAACGTTATGGTTTGTTGACATAAAATGAACAAATACTACACTTTGATTCTAAACAAAATATGGCAAATGGGACTTCAAACTCAGATAGTACCTTCAAAATCAAAAACATTTTTATTTATCCCCACCTAAATATGCAATAATATTCATTAGAAATATATGATTTTTTTCAGAATTCCTCTTTTTTATTGTTAGGTACCATAATTAATCAAGATAAGTCTTTGTTTTTGTTATAGTGGAACACACATATTCTATAATTAATAGACTCTCCCACCTATAATAAGTAGGAGTAGTAAGAATAACGAGTCAGTCGCTCAATGGGTCGGTCAGTCAGTCGATGCCGGACGACTGTTAGTCGGATACTAAAGTATCAGTGACCACAACTAGATTACTCTGCGTTATACCTATTATATCAAGTTACTAACGTTTTGTACATCGAACCTATTTTAGGACCGACAGTACAAATACAAGCCTCCACTGTGAAATCATTCCATAACAGTTTTTCACATAAAATCTCCTGAAGTAAAATTGGCATTGCCTTTTCCCTTTTTTGGTCAATTCTGTTATTTTAATTTAAAATCTTGGGACACCAAGGTGTTATGGCATTTCAGTTAAAATGCACCACCATATTCTGATAGGATTATGCTTAGGTTATATGGTCAAGACATTTTACTCATGAATGTCTGGTTGAATGCAATAAAATTGTTGAAAAATTCTAAATATATTTTAAATATATATGTACTTGACTTACTGCCAGTGCTGTTGAAGTTTGTGTCATTACTGAAACTAAATTCATCTATTTCTGCCATCATCAAAATCAAGAATGACCTGCAAGACCAACTGAACATTCATAAATGTATAGACTTTTGTTTTAAGATAAAAAATAAATAACTAATTTTGAAGTATGCCACTGCTTCATAGAAGTTATTATAATGCTCAGTCTGATTCAAAAGTGTCTACCCATCTATGGCCCACTGGGATTATTAGAATTGTTATAAACAAATACATGTTTTGTTGGCCACATATAGATGAACCTTCTGCAAAGAGTTAAAAAGTAAGAATAGGCAAACATTTTTCTTGAAGTGTCATTGAAAATAAACATAGAAATTGATTACAAGTTGATCTTTTTCTGCAAATAATCCTAAAATGTCTTTATTAAAAAAATTTCTAATTAAATCATTTGTAGAACTTTATACTATTTCTTTTTTTAGGTTTGATAAAACAAAAAAAAAAAAAAAACATTTTTCATTCTCTTTTTGTTCAAAAAACTGCTTCTTTTAAAATAAAATACATTCTGTTAATTAAGAAGACATATTTGTTTGCATAACATAAATTTTAAATAACATATATTCTGAAAATTAAAAAAAAAAGAAAGTTACTGTTTATATTTGATTATTTCCAAATTGGGTTCTTATCATTTAAAATATTTTAAATTAATAACAAAACATTACTTTTTTCTTAAACTATTTTTCTCCCAACTCTGTAGCCAAACAGAAAAGCAAATAATGCAAATTTCATATAAAAGAAGACAGTAACTGGTCTTTGGTTTGATAATTCACAATAAGACAAAAGTTCAAATATACTGCACTTTAAAGCAGACTGTACTGATTGTAGAATAAAGATCATAATTTCTGATATGAAAACACTTTATGAATATAATTTCAAATAAAGTCATTACAAGACAGTTTGGTAAGAATTAAAGAAAATTATTTTATCTATGTATGTAATTCACAACGGACTAATTTCCTCCTCATTCCCCACCCCCAATCCCACATTTTATTTATCTACCCTTTAGCTTTTCTCAATTATGTTGTACTTGTTAAATCCTACTTTGGAAATGCATTTGTCATATCAGACACTGAAGGGAGGCAAGAGGATACATGGATCAAATGATGTGAAATTAGTCTCAAGAAAATTATTATTAAAACATCTAATCTAACAAAATTCAAACCACAACTATTTTACCACTTATAAACTGACTTGCTAACAGTTTTGAATGAAATTTATAAAAATAAATATGAGAATTGTTTGCTAAGGAAATAATCTCTTGTCCTTCATGTATATTTTTTAATTATCTAAATTAAAATTGCTTTTTGTGGTGTTGGTCTATTCAGGATTTACTACAAAGGTGCAAGTGTGTCAAAGGAAAGATTGGTCTCAAACAAAAGAATGTTATTTCAAGTAAACCTGCAGATTTTTTCCAAAAGCTTTTATCAATAGATGTGATAATTCAAAGATAATCATTTACAAGTAAAATATACAAAGGATTTTATAAAAGAAAAAAGCTGGACAAAAGAAAATATAGCCACACAAATAGCAATATGAAAAAAAAATTTAGAAACTGCTGACTGGTTTTCATTACTCTCTTTTATCTGACTAAAATAAAGAGTGGTGGGAAATTGTTTGAGACACTTTTTATTAAATTATGATCGCCTTCTTTGTATAAACAAAAGGAATGGTTGTTGAGTCTCAATATCTGTTTATAGCATAAGCGTATGTGTCAGTATTGAATTGTCTCCCTTTCTTTTAGTCATGAACAGTATTTTAATTCTTTGATCAAACTCTGATAGAGAGAGGAATAAAAACAGAACAGGAATTTTTAATATTTATTTCTCTCTTTTTCCATTTTGTGTGGGTGTATTTTCTTTTGTCTAATAGCATCGCTTAAATTTTTTATCTTCAATAAGATCAAAAAGAAAAAGCTTTACTGTATATACTTGAGTATAAGTTGACTTTATGTATAGTGTGACCTCCAAATTTTTTGCATAAATTTTAACTGCTCCAGAATAAATTTACTTGTGTATAGTGCAATCAGTCACCGAAAATGTGATTTTTTTTAACCTCTTCAAAAGAAAAAAAAACCCTGTGTATAGTGCAATCCCCTAATTTTTGTGTAAAAAAAAAGATCATGTAAACTTGCACTATACTCAACTATATATACAGTATACTGTGAGCAATTGCTCTGAGGATATTGAAAATTTTACTGAAATTTCAAGGGTTAACATTCCAATGGACAGAAAACTATTCAAGGGAGAAATAGCTAATTCAGCTTATTTTGTTTGAGCCAATCTCTATCCTTTACAAAATAAAATACTTACATTTGCTTTTTCTTTCTCAAACTCCTTTGTTAATTCCTCAACTTTCTTCTCTAAAGTTTTTTCTTGTCTCTCCTTCAGAGCCTTCAACTGAAAACAAATTAAGGCTAGGTTTATAACTATTCAAAATTAGCCTAAAAATTACAAACGGTGAAGTGAAGTGACTAACCTAATATAATGGTAATATTAGTTGTTTCCTTATAAGGAAAAATTCAGCATTCATTGACCTAGCAACCAGTGATACTGAAATTACATTTTTCTTCATTCTTGAAAGCATAGTATCTGTTCTCCACCTCTCTAATGGTAATATAAGAAAACATTTGGTATTCATTGATCAAACAGCCCATGCTATTTGAGTTACACTTTTCTTCACTCTCTGGCCATTAAATTGTGATCAAAGTGTAGTACCTACATTCAGGTGGACAAACTACATTTTATCTCTCAATTGTGTTTCTCTCTTCAGACAGAACACAACAAATAAATAAGGGATGCATGATCCTGGGGACTTCAAATCTGCAATAACACCTCCCCCATTTCATCAAAGAGAGAAGTTGGTGGAATATCAATGGCAGTGTGATGTTGGTTGCAGGAACTAGGCTTGGCCTATGTGCACACACTTAGGCTCCCTACTTTAAACTGGCCTTGTGCCATATTGCCTCAGTGTTGGAGGGTGGTAGTGGCCTTGCTGCGAGTAAGTAATGAGTGTAGTATCTGTTCTTTTCATCTCTCTTGGTAATATTAGTTGTTTCCTTATAAGGAAACATTCTGGATTCACTGACCAAACAGCCAGTGTTATTTTCAGTTGAAATTTATAATAGTTTTTCTTTTAAAACAATTTTTCAGGGAAATAGATTTCTCAAGTCTGGTAACTGTTATTGCTATTTCTAGTATTGATGGAGGTGTAGAACATTAGTATCTTGATTATGAAGAAGTGTGGGCCAGGTAGTGTCTACTTGGACTCAGTGAAAATGGGTGAGCAATAACTGAGCATAACTATAAATAAGAACTTGACAAGATATCCTTAGACATGGACAGTGGAACAAGAACAGTCTACTCTTGTAGATTAAATAAATTTCTTGTAGGTTTCCTAGATCAATATACACCTGAGGAAGGCTGGAGAGCACAACGGCTAAAACTCTGTGATAACAACAACAAAGATGAGGACAATAGTCCGAATATAAATAGTGTAAATAATGATAATTTCTCATCCCTTGAAATTCAGAGAGAGAAAAAATTCTCAGTTTTCCAAATTCCCTCATCAGAAGATTTGAGAATTTGATAAGATTTTAAGTTAGCTCTGCTTCCACAAAGAAATCAGATATAATAAAAATTAATGAATAGTGTTATTTTAAACCTTTTCAATGAATTAAGGAACAATTTAGGTGAAAATTTTTCAATTTACCTTTAGGTGTTATTTAGATACTAAAGAAATTCAGAGTTATCTAAAATGTCAAAGGTGAATTAATTATCTTAGAGGATATTCTATAGATAACCAAGAATGATTGAAAAATATTATCAACTTACCTTGTTTCTTTCAGCCACAATTCCATCAATAAGTTTTTTACTTAATTCACGCTTTTTCCTGAGTTGAAAGAAGAAATTAATTAAATATTAGAATTTAAAAAATATCATGATTTCAAATTTAGAACTCATGCAAAAAAAAAAAAGAAGGTTGAAATGAAATCTCCTGACCACAGGTACATATACTACAAAATGCACTTGTGTTGTACCTGTCTCTACTCATAAATTGAATCATCAGTACCTTTTATTTTATCCAAGTAAAAAGCATTATTGCAGTCTTTAAATAGATGGCAACATAAATGGATTTAAAATCTTGCAGACAGGTGATTAATAATGAGTCAACTTCAGCAAAGTTTAACCTTAGGACCTGCTAAAAAACAATGTCAAAAGTACAGTTTTTCTTGACACCGCTATTACTGCATACTATTTCAACTCCCTCAACAATGTTCATTGTTTTAAAAAGTTATATTTAAAATTATATAACAACATTGTTAAACACAATAATTGTTAGATTATTTATTTACAAGATTAAGGAGAATGTAAGTTAGCTGATGGTAACTCCCACTCCAAAAGAAGACTTTGCAGTCTATTTTGTGGGAAGGATACTGCAATAAGTGAAAGGTGTCCCAAGGAGTGTACTTTAAAAGGAATTCCGGTATGATTGCTTTAAAGAGGCTTTTTTTTTTTTGTTTAATATTAAATTGTTGTATGTTTTAGAGTTCATAAATATTTTTTTTAGAAATTCATGTGGTAAATATAGAAAAGAACATCAGAATTTTAAAAAATGGTTTTCTTTGTAGCTAAAAATAGCTTATTAAAACATAAAAATTGTTTCCAGAAATTCAATGGCAAGGAGGTGATTATTTTATGGGGGGGAAAAATGGGGTTTTGTGATCCAAAATTCTGGCTAACCTTGCCAATTCTTCTTTGTCTTTAGTTTCTTTGCCCAAATTCTTCTGTTCTTCCTTTGATTTTTTGTTCATTTCTTTGTTCATAGCTTCCACTTCTTTGTCATGGATTGTCTGCAATTTTTTCTTGAGTTCCTCTTGGTTTGAACTTATTAAATTCTTTAGACAGTCGTTCAGAGAATCAATGTACTTCTTGCAAATCTCTGATTCTGCATTGAAGTGATCAGTGCACAAACTCACAAACTTGTCGATGTTTTCTTTGTGCAATTGATTAAACTGTACAAGAGATGAGAAGAAACAATTAGGCACATGCAAAAAGGAAACAGAATGGAACTGCATTTAATTCAGTTTTAAAACCAGAGGCAGTTTACTGAAATCAGCTACAAAATAAAAATGAAGACGAACAAACCTTTTCTTGATTTTCTTTCACCAATCGGTCATGTTCATCTTTGCCACTCTTTTCGGCTTTTTTTTCTGCTTTTTGGTGTCCATCTTTCATTTTCTTTTCTTCTGATTTCATTTTGGTCTTCATATTCGCCTGAGCCTTAAACAAATAAGAAAAGCAGGTGAAGTGTCCTGTGGAATCTGTAACATTTAAACCAAGTCTGATACTGTCATAACAGCTTAAATTAGATCTCCCCTAGGTTGCCTAAAAGTTACTTGCTTTTGTTTATTAGGCATTAAATTACATCACTTAGCATCCTCCATACTTTATCTGGACTTTCAGTTAGCCATAAGAATATTTTTGAGCATTCTTAAATTTAGAAATTTTGAAAACCTTACCATATTTTTTACTTCTGTTTATAAATAGATGTTGCAAAAAAAAAAAACCCTTATATTTGCCAGAATAAAATCTATCAGAAGATGAAATGTGTTGGTAAAGAATAGTTTTTGTTTTGTCTTTATTCACATTGTCTTTTTTTTTCCCCGCACCATCTTATCAGTCCTGAAATCGTTTAGGGCTGATGCCAGACAGTCATATGTTCATAATTTAAATTCATAATAAATAATAATAAATTTGCATCATTTTCATGTTTTCAAATTATTTTGATATGGTTTGAAAAACTCTCAATTACGTGACACGTTAATCAATTTTCTGTTTTAGATAAATTTCAGAATAAGTAATTTATCACCATTACTTTTTGCTTTATCAAAAAAAAAAAAAAAAAAAGATTTGTTTAAAAACAAGGAAGACCAATCTTGTTTATCTGTCACTAAATCAATATTGAAAAATGTCCATGGTAAATTGTGAATTATTTTATATTTGATGAGTGTTATTATATGTGTTAAATATAAATAGAGGTAGATTTACATTTATTTTTCTTTTAAAAAGTTAATATTTTGGTAATGTATTTAGAGACAAAGAAAAAAAAAACTGATTATTTTGTACCTTGTCATTCTTCTTCTTGATTGAATCAACTTCTTTATCTCTTTTTGATAAAATCTTGCTGTATGCTTTGCTTTGCTTTAAGACATCTAATTTTGGTGGAGTGACAGCTGATTCATCTGTAGACAAAGAAACAAAATGGCTTCATTTATCAAGATTTTTTTGTTTGGAATTTACCAAAAAATAGAAAGGAAGGAAAGAAGGAATGAAAGGAAGATTGAAAGGAAAAAAGAAGGGAAGAGAGAAGAAAAACAATCTCAAATATATACCCTTCATCTTTGAATTAGCAACAAATTCAGAATCAGCTGCTGCTGGTGGAGGTGGTGGACTTGCAGGTGTAGCTGAAATAAACAATAATTTTTGTTATCAGTACTTTCAAATTTGATGCTTTATAAATAACAGAGATAATTCACTTCAATTTCAGATTGTTTTAATTGCCGGTATAACCAATAAATATACAGAAATAGAACTAATCAGTTTACGGCAGTTAGATAAAGCTCCCCCTCCCCCGAATAGGCTTCACTCAGAGTAGTTTTGTCCAACACCGCAAGATGTTACAAAACCAAAACATTAAGCTAAGAACTTGAGTCATGTTCTTAAATAGCCTTGTCAGATCGAGACTTCGATGTGGATGTCATACATAGCATCCAACTCATTCAAAAATGCCTAAACTATCAGCTATATATAACCGTTTTCTCAGGTCAAAGATTAAAAATGAATTCAAGTGTATGATCATTGTAGGTTTTGGTGAGGACCATTCTTCATTGAATTTTGTGGAATGGCACTATGGAGTCATAAAAGACTTTACCAAATAATAGAAAACACATCACTTGAAGATTTTCAATCAATATCAGCAACAACTGAAATGGTTCACACATGTAACTCAAAGAGAAAATATTGACAATCAAAATGCTGCCTTAAACAAAAGATTATGAAAGAAACCATCATCAATATAAGAAAGAGTTCATGGGCATGTAAAATATATGTTTAACCACCCAAGTAAATTAAAAATACAGTTTAACCCGGATATAAGAGAGTTGTCGGGACCGGAGAAGAAGTCTCTTATATCCAGGTTTGGTCTATTTTATATACATTAACACAGGCTCTAATTTGGGACCAGAGAAAATCTCTCTTATAAACGGGTTTCTCTTATATCCGGGTCTCTTATATCCGGGTTACACTGTATGTCCACTTCTCAGGTATGTAAAAAATATAGTATTTAAGTGTAAAATACAATGTATATATTTATTTTAGTGTGTTGAGGGTGATAGATTGAAACAAAAGATATATTTATGAGGGGATGCTGAAAAGTTCTTGGCTTGACAAAAGATCTGATGTCATTTGGTTAGATTTTGGGAAGTGGTTCAGGCTGGAACTTTTCTGCACCTACTTGTATTCCAGTAACCAAGACTAATATTTTTTTCAGCGAATTGGATCTACAATTGCTATGATAATTTTGACTTATGCATAATTTTCAAACTCAAAAGAAGTACCACCCTGAATACTGCTGACCTACAAAAGTTGAAATTTAAATATATTAAAAAAATTAACCAAATTCAATCTGATAATTTCTGTTTTAATTTTTGAAAGTGTTGTAGAGTAGTTTTCACAGTGGGGGCTTGTATTTCACTAAGTCGGTCCTAAAAGGTTCAACGTACAAAACGTTAGGAACTTGAAATAATAGTTAATGATGCAGCAATCTAGTTGTGGTGGTTGATACTTTAATGTCCGACATCGACTGACTCACCAACTCCACTGAGCCCTCTGGCGACTGCTACTACTACTACTACTTATATCTGGGAGAGTCTATTTACAATAGAATAGGTATGTTCTAGTATAACAGAAAGTGAGAAAATATTATTATACATTGATTTATTATTAATTATTCTCATTATACACTGATTTATTATTAATTATCCTCATTATACACTGATTTACTGGAACTCATGTTCTTATGGTTGTTATCATTACAATGTTTCGTCTAGTGTCTTTTCTGGTCTTCTTCAATTGTCTGTTGTTCTACAGGATGAAAGCATAATTAAATCAAGTTACCTGATAGTTATGAATTCAAGGGTTGGATAGTGCTATAGTCATATGCTCAGGTTTAATGACAGTAACAAATATCTCCACAATGATGACTTCACTAGACAGAATTAATTGATGTGAGATAGCAGAATGAGAACAATACACTTGTTGATTGAATAAAGTGTTTAGTTTTCAAAAAAAAAATTATGAATTATGACAGCATTGTGAAAACGCCAACTGAGATGAGGATACCAGTCCCAATAAATTGGTGCATAACCAAATTAAACTTTTACACAAGTATATGAAAAATAACTAAAATGAGGACCTTTTCAGAAAATGTTCTTAAAAAGGAATCCATTTAAAAAAAAAGAAATCCACAAACATAATTTTTGCCTTACCTACTTTTCCAGGTGCTCCAGCTGCAGGTTTTTTAGTTGCCCCCATCAGAGCAGATTTGGCAATATTTCCATGACTGACCTTCTTTCCTGCTGCTCCCCAGGCTTTCTTGCCAGCTTTAGGGCTCTTACCTGGCTTAGCAGCACTCTACAAAATCAAACAAAAATTGTTTGCAGTTAGAGCTAGTCTGTCTGAAGACAGAATATTAAAATTGCAGAAAACAAAAAGTAAAGACCTCTAATATAAATGCTTTCTTCAGATTATGTATATATATATAAAGGTAAATCTATGACAAAGTGGGAAAAGATTTTGTGTGATGTGTTTCATCAATTAGGACTTCATCAAACTAAAGTGATGTTTATGCTGATGCAGGAGAATGAATGCTGAGAATTTATTTTTTTTTTTAAATATATGTCTTGGGTATATAGTTTAGCCAATTTCATTTAGTTTTTTTTTTTGTTTATGTTTTTATCGCTTTTATTATTAAATATCCCATATTGTGATAATAGAAGATCCGTCAAGATTTTCCTAAAATTGTTCTTGATATATAAAAATTTATCGTTTTCCCTATATACACACATACATGGAGACAAGAGCATGAACACACACAGTATGAAAAAGAAAACTTGTGCCAATGAAAAGTGCATATAAAAAAGTAAAATGTAGTATAAGGAGTCAATTGCTGATAACCCTGACAAGTGTATTGTGTGATTCCTGGAGGAACCATTTATGAAATTCTGGAGTCTGAATGCTGAAGGTAAGATCAATCAGTTAAATGTATGATTTTTTATAAATATTATATATAATATATATATATATATATATATATATATATATATATATATATATATATATATATATATATATACACACACACACACACACAATGTGAGATGGATAAAATTGTTGTCTAAATTAAAATAAAAATGAAAATCTACCAAAGAGTAAATATATTCAATAAAATCACCATTGGCTTCTACCATGGTCTCCAGATGACCTCAGAATCTCCTGTAACTCTTCTGGACTGTCTCCTTGTTTAAATTGGTGAATGCTGCCATAATCCTTGCCTTCAGTTCATCTTTGGTGTTATATGGAGTTTTGTTGGTCTCTTGCTCAATTGCACCCTACACATAATGATGAAGGCGGTTGCAGTTGGGGGAGGTAGGTCATCAAATATAAGGGGTGATGTGGCCGCAGAAATTGTCTGACAGCCATAACTGGGTTCTCCTGCTTGTGTGGCATGGTGCATAATCCTGTTGCCAGACATAGGGTCTTCCAGCAGCCACCTTTATGACCTAGAGCAGCACTACCTTGTCAAGGCACTTGAGGTAAGCCTGTGTGTTGAGTTGGAGGGCCTGTGGGAAGATGAATGGAGGCATGACATCACCATTACTCCAAACACCTTTGTAATCACCATTAGACTCATCCAAATCTATCTGAATCCTCTTCACTATCCTCAGATTGACAAACACTCTGAAATGTTTGTTTTTGAGCTTCCAGTGCAGATGCCAAGCAGTACAGCATGCTGTTTCCAAATATCTGGTGGAGTGAATTGCATCATGGTGCTCTTTTTCTCACAGATGGGGCCTAACTTACTCTACTATACTGTGCAGTTGACAATATGAAAAACAAACAACACACATGCATGAAATTAAAAATATAAAATGGCAACAATCTGCTCATCACACCCTGTATAAATATAAACCAAAGATTATGTTTTAAAACAGATATATAGAGATAATATAATTTAAATTATTTATTTATTTTAAAATATAATTTTCTGATATCAGAATTGTTCAAATAATAAAGCCATGAATGGATCTTAATATATAATATATATTTTTTACCTATAAAAATGACATGAAGGGAGAGCAGGCAAAAATACACAGGTACCAAAATTTGGCAAGGCAAAATAGATTTTTTAAAAAAGCATGCAGTTCATATTATTTTTTTTGCATTTGAAAAAATAGAACTATTTCTGGATTTTTATTTGGATGGATAACATAAATTCCAATTCATGCAAAACATTTTCCCTTGGAACAGATCATATACTGAGGTAAATTTTGTGTCTCTAAACAGTAGGTAGGAACTGTAATAAGACCAGCAGCATTGTTTTAAATGTGAAAGAAAATATCAAATTGAATAAAAATAATCAATTTTAAAAAATGGATCCATTTATATATCATTTCTTCCAAGGTTTTAATAAAAATCTTCTTTTTGGTATGAGAGACATGACAGCATGACATTTTCTATTTTGCACATTTAATGTAAATATATTTTAAAAAGACTATTGTTTTGGAACAGATGAAAAAACCTGTCAAGTAGAACCATTTCACCATTCATGAAACCATTTTGCAGTTCTAAGATATATCAATTAAATAAAACTTACCACCCATTGAATATAATTAAACAATCAAACCGTTAGGAGTGCAATTTGCAGTTGCAAATTTTTCTGTTGAAGATATATTTAATGAAAAAAAAAAGCATACATATCTAATATTAAAACAGGAATTAAATAAAACTAACCTGTATTTCAAAAGAACAGATGAACCCAAGAAATGATTTATTAATAAAAAAAAAGAAGAAATAAAATTTTTTTCAAAATTAATTAAATTTTTTCAAGACATAAAAAAAAAACAAGGAAAAAGGGAAGATTTTTTTCAATATATATATATATGGGCAACATCATAAAAGAGAATGAATAGCAAAAATAAAAAAGCTCAAAATCATGTGAAAGATGAAAAATATGGTCTTATATAATTGCAGGAAAAAAAGATAACTGCTTTTTTTTTTAAATATATTTTATTTTATACAAAACAAGTTGTATATTTTGATAAAAAAGAGGTGAAAATAGTAGCACAAAAGAAAAGAAGCTAAAAGCTACATTATTTTTTTTTTTAGGAAAATAAAAAAAACAAAAGCCTAAATATTAAAATATTTTTTTATGAAATCTAAAGACTGACAAAATATAAAGGAATAAATGTAGATTTCAAATTTATGAAAGAAGAGAAAATTTATATATTTTATTATAAAAAATAATAATTAATTATTGAAAAGGAGATCAGAGATCATCTTACCATGTTTTTACACATTAAGAAGTTCAGTTTGGAGGTTATTTGAACCCGAATCCTTGGAATTTTTTTTTTTTTTTTTTTTTCTTTTTAAATTTATATATTTTGAATGAATGTCTTGAGCTCCATGTCATTGATTTCTGAACAAACCCTTTTTTTTTTTAAACTATTCAAAAAACGTTATGGTAATGTTCTGGTCAGCATTCATTTTTTTTTTTTAAATATTTTGGAATTATATAATTTAAATTTTATATCCTTGTTTTTTTATTTTGATAAAAAATGTTTTATTGAAAATAAAAAAAAAAATTTATTTTTATTTTTACTTTTTTTTTTAACATTGTTCTGAATTTTATTTTTCAATATATTGTAAGATCCATATATATATATATATATATATATATATATATATAATATATAATAAAAAAAAAAATTTTTTATTTATTATTTTTTTTTTTAATCATTGTTTGATTTTATTTTTTTACTATAAATATATATATATATATATATATATAAATAAAAATAATATAGTGGTTCCAATTAAGAGAAAAGTATGTATATTATAAATAAAGAGAAGAAGATTATACATTCAAACGTTTTTTGGTAATAATAAAATTGAATTCAAGAAAGAAATTCAGAGAACCAACACATAACAAATAGAAAATGTTAAATATATCGAGAATATTTAACATTGAACA